GTGGGAAATGCCGAGGGGTGGGGCGAGGGCAGCCCGCGGGATCCCGGCGAGTCCGCGCGCCGCTCTGGTCCGGGGTGCCCAGGCTCGAGTCCCCGCTTCAGGGCCGGCCCCTGGCGGGGCGGAGCCGAGTCCCACTGGCTGGGCTCGCGGCGCCAGGGTCTGGGGTCCAGTCCTTGCCGGGCCGGGCCGGGACGGGGTCGGAGGGGCGGGGCGGGGCGGGCGGGGACCTCGGGCGCTGTCCAGGAGCTGCGCAGCCGAGGCCTCGACGCGCGGGCGCGGCGCTGGGCAGCGAGGGCCTGGGTCAGGTTGGGGCAGCGGTTTCTCGTCCCGGCCCCGCCCGCCCCGACGTTCCCTCACCCCAGGCGGGGGTCCCGGCCTGCGGGGCGCAGAGGGCGGCTGCGCGGGAGCCCCAGGCTCCCTCCGCTCCCGCTAACTTTGTTCTTCCGAAGGCACGGTGCCACTCGGGACCCCGGCCCCCGGGGAGCAGGGGTGTGGGAGGTGGGTGAGGGGCGGAAGTGGCAAGACCAAGAGCAACAGGAAATGACTTAGGGAAAGTCCCAACCGCAATCCCCCCAGCCCCTGCCTGTCAACACCCCCCACCCTGCAGGCTGGGGCCCTCCCGACTGACTTCCCCTTGCAGAACCCATCGAGTGTCGTGTCTCCACCCGGGGCTTCCACCTCCAACGAGCCATGTTCCAGGCTGCAGGAGGCGCCCAGGCCACTCCCTCCCATGTAAGTGCCCAGACAGGTGTGAGGGCCCCCGGGCTGGGGTGAAGGGGAGAAGTGCGGGGGTTTGCCGGCCGCCTTTGCCCCCTGCGGCGAGCCTCTGGTCCTGGGCCGATGGCTGCAGCCGTGGTCCAGGGCCTCCCGGAGCTGCCCTGCCTTGACCGCCCCTCTCCCTCAGGAAGCCAAAGGCGGCGGTAGCAGCACGGTGCAGCGCTCCAAGGTAGGGGCCTGGGGCGGGGTGTGCGGGGGGAGGGGCGTGGGGGAGCGGAGTGGGCTCTGGGCATCCCCTGGCTGAACTTCCCGCACAGTCCTTCAGCCTGCGGGCCCAAGTGAAGGAGACATGCGCCGCCTGTCAGAAGACAGTGTACCCCATGGAGCGGCTGGTGGCCGACAAGCTCATTTTCCACAACTCTTGCTTCTGCTGCAAGCACTGTCACACCAAACTCAGGTGCGCCCCTGCCCTGCCCTCCCCCTCGCCTGCCAGCCCAGTCCCGACCTGGCTTGATCTGAGGCCGTTGTTGGGCTTCCGCAGCCTGGGCAGCTACGCCGCGTTGCACGGGGAGTTCTACTGCAAACCCCACTTCCAGCAGCTGTTTAAGAGCAAAGGCAACTACGACGAGGGGTTTGGCCGCAAGCAGCACAAGGAGCTCTGGGCCCACAAGGAGGTGGACCCCGGCACCAAGACGTCCTGAGGCCCCTGCAACCTTCCACCCCCTCCGCCGGCAGGGGGAAGGTTGGGAAGGAGGTCGAGCTGGGCTTGCGTGGGGGCCAGGTGGGAAGGGGATGAGGCCTGCTCAGGCCGAGGGGCCCAGGGGCAGGGCTCTGCCCCATGACTCCTTCCTTCCTTGTCCCGCAGCGGGTGAGGGTTTGGGAACCAGGATTGGGGTCTGCCCACCACCCTGCTTCCTGCTTCTTTCAGCTGTCCTCCCCACCTCACCTCAGGACCCCCTAGGAGGGTCCCACGCCCAGCTTCCCTATCTAGGTGCCTTTTCTCCAGCAAGGAGTCAGCATGCCCCGCTCAGGGTCTCAAGCTCCCTCACTGCCACCAGAGGCTGTGTGGCCCCCGCATCTCCCCATCTACCTCTACCCTTAACCTGGTTCTGAGCCACGGAGGAGACAGGAAGGAGCACAGCAGTGCCACCTGTTGGGCCTCATAAATGCCCCTGCAGCCCACAGGGGAGGGGATGAGGAAGTGGAGCCACCCTCCCTCGTCAGGGCAAGTGGGACTTGGGACCATCTCGCACCACCAGCGTGGAGAAGCGGACGCTAAAGCATTCGCCAGGCTGCAGCCTCAGACACTGGCAGGGGCTGGCACAGTCCCGCTCCCCTCCCACTCCCCTGTTTCTGCCTATCCTGTTTTGACCAACCCCGTTTTAAACATGTTTCAACAGATCCAGATTCTCTATTGTGTGGCCTGCTGGGGGATTTGTCGCAGGAAGGGTGCAGACTCACCATGGGGAGGGCATGGGGGCTAGAAGTGGGTGTCAGACACACCATTGAGAAATGAGAGGGCTCCTCTTCCCAGCAAGGGCTTCATGCTGTCACACCCACAGCAGTTTTGGAACTGAAACTCCACCTCATCCCTCAGCTTTGGGGTGGTTCAGACCCACTGACTACCACATGCACCCCATTGTGAAGAGGCCTGAAAGCGGGAGGGCCAGGTGACCAGTGGGTGATGGCGCCTGTCCTCGATGCACTTCAGTGTTGGGGGTGCAAGCTGCCATGCTCCCTGGCTGGTTCCAGCTGTCTAGCTCCCTTCTTCACAGCCCTTTGACCTGGAAGTTAGTGACAAATGGCGGGAACCAGCAAGTGCTGCCCCAGGTTTTAGTGACCCCCCGCACTGTCCCTCCTTATCATTCCCCTTCATTGCTGTCATTATCCACTTACCTTTTCAAGCTCTGGGGTGAGGCAGTCACAGCTACTGCCCTAGGAAGTCCAAGGAGAAACCATCTGCTCCTCTGAAAACCCGGGGAAAATGAGGGATGAGTTTACAGCAGACCAAACCAGGCAAGCTGGGAGGACCTGAGGGCTCCCTGGTGGGACACAGGCAGGAAGTCTGGGTTGTCCTGCTCCAGATCCAGCTTCCTGATGTTTCCAGACATGGGGTAGATGAGAACAGTCCTGAAGGGTTTGCTGCCACCACACTATACAACTGCCTAAGTTCCTAAGTGGCCTTCTCCCCATGGAACAGGGCAGCGAGCTGGGCCACAGGCTCCAGTGTCACATGAGCCACTGTGCTGAGGCACACACTGCTCCTTGAACAGCGAATACTCGGTAAAGATGGTCCCCCAGGCCTGGTCTCTTCAAGTACGAAGCGAGCAACTCAACCTCTCAGGGCAGGCGAACTTCCTGCACCAGAGGTCTCGGATGGCAACAAGGTCGGTCTTTCTTCGGTTAAGCAACAGCAGATGGGCCACAAGGGAATACTGGAGAGGTGGCTCTTGGAGGCACCTGACCCCTGCCCTGCAAAGATGGGATTCAAGGAAGTCTTGGGCCAGGAAGACCCTACAAGATGCCATGAAGGCTCTGGGAACCCAGCCACTGGTGACATTCAAGTTGTGAGGGCCAGCAATGCCACCTTGGTAAATCAGCCCTGAGGGTACCACCCCAGTGGAGTTTGTGGAGGAAAAGGGGCAGACACCTCTGGGTACCAGCCAGGTCATCCCAGGACCCCTCTACTCGGAGACAAGTTCTCTTCTGCTTGAGAGGCCCAAGCTTGTTGCCAGGCACCATACCCAGCCCGTCAGGCAAAAACCTACCTCCATCCCCTGCAACTGAAAGCACTGCCACAGGACCCCTCTGATATAAATGATCCCTTTTATTGTAAGTAATGCGCAACACTGGCCTGGCTTTGCACTGCAAGCCCTCAGTCAAGATATAGTCAAATAACTATGGCTGCAGGTTCTTCTGCACGATCCACAATTCAGACACAGACGCAGAGCTGGGGTGGACGGGAGGGGCAGGAGGGCGGCAGAGTGCAGACTGTCCCCAGCCCTGGGCTCTGCATTCAAAGTTGGCCCAGGCAGACACACCCCATGGAATGATGAGAAAGTGACACAGCCCCTTCTCACAGCAAGCCTGGGGCTGCCAGGAAACTGCCCTTCAGAACCTTCGGGCCCAGGTCATCTTGAAGCCCCACAACTTTTTCTCTGTATTAGTTATTAAAAAACAATAAATTAAAATTAAGCAACAACTTGGTCCTAAGGATGCTGAGCCAGCATGTCCACAGTTTTTGGCACAAAAAATTAGGGACTGTTTTGCTTTTTTGGAGTGTATGGTTTGTTGGCTTGTCTTCAAATTCATTTTTAAAACACATTCCCAGCCGGGTGCAGTGACTCATGCCTGTAATCCCAGCAGTTTGGGAGACTGAGGCAGGCGGATCATGAGGTCAGGAGTATGAGACCAGCCTGGCCAATTTGGTGAAACCCTGCCTCTACTAAAGATACAAAATTAGCTGGGTGTGGTAGCACGCACCTGCAGTCCCAGGTTCTCAGGAGGCTGAGGCAGAGGAATTGCTTGAACCTGGGAGGCAAAGGTTGCAGTGAGCCGAGATCATGCCACTGCACTCCAGCCGGCAACAGAGTGAGACTCTGTCTCAAAAAAAAACATTCCCAGTGAGGTAAGACCCCAGGGGGTGGGGCTCTGTGAACCTGAACCTAGGACCCACAGTAGAGTCAGCCAGCACTGTGCTCTGTATCCTCTTAGGGAATAGGGACTGGGGATGGGGGTGCGGACCAGGAAGAGTGTGCAGCCAGCAGGATGGGGTCGTGGAGAGGCCGAGCTGCCACACAGCAGCTTTGGTCGAGATGAGGGCCAGGCCCCACCCTGGGCAAGGGCCGAGGTGGAAGCAGGAGCCTATGCTGTCTTCAGAGGACAGTGTGGGGTGTAGGGGCCGACAGAGCCCCTGGGGGAAAAGGGATGGAAACAGAGGGGTCTAGGCCCAACTGGCACCATGTGACACACACTTCTGCAAAACCAGCTGCTTTCATTTTCTCTTCTCTCTCGAGGCGTCCATCACCTGTAACAGTCTAGAATTGATATATATAAAAACCATCAAATATGATCTGAGATATAAATTAACAAGTACAAGGCCTCACATTACATCATGTGAAAAGGCTAAAAACAGCGATAGAAACTACATTCATAAAAGTGCATCGTCAACATACAACGAAGGCTTTGGCTTGTTCTGTGCCCATGGGGATGTAGGCATGGCTGGCAGGGCTGCCTGGCACTAATCCCCAGCTCCCTGGAGATGCCCATCCCTGGGCACTGGCTTTTTTTTTTTTTCCTTTAATGACAACTCCCAAGGAAACTGGGTGTTGAGAGGGAGGAGCTCTAGCAATAGGCACATTTTGGAGGGGAGGGGCTGGAAGAAAGGACCAGCGCCCGGGCTGAGGTACATATGGCCAACTCTAAGCTGCTTGGAGATGCTGTTTCCCCAACCCCTGCTGTCATTCCTCCCCCAGGGGAGGAGCTAGAAGGGAAAACGGCTGAGACCTCATGGGGATGGGCAAGGCTGGCTAAGGAAGAACAGAGCTGGCGGTTTTGGACACAGCTGGTGGCAGCACATGAGCTTTCCCTTCTACCAGACGGAGTGGGCTCTGGCCTAGCAGGTCACAACTCAAGACAGCCTGAGACACCTCCTCATGCTCTCTGGGACCAGGGCACCGGCTGGGCCAGATGCCCCCGCCATGTCGTCCATCTCCCCTTCTGCTCCAGTGGGGAACAGATGCTAGGCCAGGAGCACAAAGGCCATGACCTCCAGCTCTTTCCAATGTAGCCTAGGCCCAAGCCCACAGCAGGTACTCAGAGCCCAAAGGGCACACAGAGTCTCCACTTTAGAAACTGGGTACAGCATAAGAGTGACTCCGACTTGTAAAACAGAGACAACTGCATTGACAAAACTGGATCCCCCTCAGTGGCAGCAGTTCGACATCACAGGCCCCTGCCTGGGGGAGGCAGGGTCATGGGCACAGGCAGGACTGGCTCCTCCTTCCCTGAATAAGGCAGCATGACATTTGCTTCATTCATCTTTGGTAAAGGACAGGACTGGCACAGCCAACCTGGGGCTCTAGGGGAGGGCAGCCTGGGCTTCTGCCTGCCACTGCTGTGGGGTGCTGGCCTTTCCCTCAGGCTTGTGGGAGCTCATCTAACCTGGAGACGCCCTGGTGGTCTCCAGACATTGTAAGGAAAAACAAAATAACACTCTGAATGAAAATAACACTCTTCATACCCTGGCGTCAGTCCCATGCCCCCAGACCCTTTGGGCTTCAGTGCCATTTGCAGTGTCAGGACACATCCCCGAGGGTGGGGCCCACAGCCACCTTGCACATTGTTCCCAGCCCCTACCCCTCCACGCTGAGCTCAGGACACTGGAGCTCCTGGATATGACAGGCTGGGGTCTCCCAGTCCTGAGGCTACAGCCACCCCATCCCAGCTCTGAGCCCCAGTGGCAGAAGGGGCACAGACAGATGCTGGCTGGGCTGCCGCTCCATGGTCCACAGCCTTGCCTGGGAGAAGCAGCAACTTCACTGAGCCCCGCAGCAGCCCCCAGCAGCAAAGGGCGGCCGGCAGCCGCGTGGCCATGAGAGCTCAGTACATGAGCTGTGCAAAGTGGTGTGTGAGCAGCTCCTCAGCTGAAGGTCTCTGGCGAGCCTCCACAAAAATGCGCCTCAGGAAGTCCCGGCCATGTTCAGAGATGTGGGAGGGCAGCTGAGGATTGGTGGGCTGGGTGGCTATCTTGAAGATGGCGGCCATAGCTTCATACTCTGCCCACGGTGGTTTCTCTGTCAGCATCTCCACCACAGTGCAGCCCAGGCTCCTGGAAGAGAGAACCCGTGTCACCTCTCAGCCAGCCTTGGACTCCCAGCTGTCCCGCCCATCACTGCAAAAGGAGGCGCTTTTCTCAGAGTATGATGAAGAGCAGGATAGGCCAAGCTGAGGGCTGACAGCCCTTGGATCCCCGTCCACATGGGCTTCATGGACCTGTAACTCACCACACACCTGGGCACATCTTGACACTGGGAAGAAGAGAATCACTTTGCCTTGACAGAAAGAGCTCTACAATAACTGTATTAGCTCCCCATAGCTGCTCTAACTTTACCACAAACTTAGAGGTAGGAAAACAACACAGATGTGTCATCTTACAGTTCTGAAGGTCAGAGGTCTAAAATCAGTCTCACAGGGCTAAAGTCAGGTGGCAGCAGGGCTGATTCCTGTCGGAAGCTCTGAGGGGAGAACCTGTTTCCTTGTTTTTCCCAGGTTCTAGAGGCCACCTGCATTTCGTGGCTTATGGTTGCCTCCTTGTATTACTCCAACTTCTTGCTTCCATAGTCTCACCTCCTACTAGCCACTGTGACCTCCCGAGTCCCTTCTGTAAGGACCCTTGTGATTATACCAGGCTACTTGGCTAATTCAGAATAATCCATCCATCTCAAAACCCTTAATTTAATCATCTCTGCAAAGGCCCTTTGCTATATACAATCACATTTACTGATCCTGGGATCAGGCAATGGACATCTTTGGGGGACCATTATTCAGCCCACCACAATAGCTTTCCAAGGGGAGAAGCTCTCATGACCTAGGGGCAGAGGATGGACACGAGGTTAGGTCGAGCAAGTGCAAGCCATCTGAGTGCTAGGAGAAGGGACAGAAGCCTGCTCCTGTTCAGAGACTGGTCCAGGCCTTCAGAATGGATCCTGCTGCCTTAAGAGATTTAGAAAACATGAGGGATGTTTTCCATGGCCTAAGTCCCAGCTCTAACGGAGTATGCTTTTATCTGGGGTAAAAATACAACCCATCTGGTGTATGTGCACTACACACACTAAAACCCTTGCATATACTGCAGCCTGGGTCCTGGGTGCACTCCCTCCTGCCACACCACAAAGTCCCCAGGGTATGTTTCTAATGGAGGGCCACTAGGGCCTGGGTGGGAGAAGGGGTTCTGCATGTCCCAGTGCTCACCACACGTCTGCTTTCCTTCCATAGCCCTCACCGCTGATCACCTCAGGACTCATCCAGTAAGGTGTGCCAGTGACAGAGCGCATGCCCGTCCCCGACATACAGATCGTCTGCAGGCGTTTGCTGGCCCCAAAGTCCCCCAGCTTCACATTCCCAGCAGAGTCTCGAAGGATGTTGGCTCCTGAGGCATGAAAAGGCAGAGGCTTCAACCCTGGACCCTCTTGCATTTTCTCCCATCCTCCCCACTCCCAGGTCACTGAGAGCTGCTGGAAAGGGCAGGGCTACCACTGAATTAGACATGAACTACACACAGCAAAGGACCTAGTGAAGGGGAGCCTCAGATCTACCACACAAAATGACTGTCTCCATGGCCAACATGTACAGGGAACTTGGCAATATTTTCCCAAGTTGCTCAACCAGTCTTCTCACAGTCCCTCAAGGAAGCAATTGGGATCCCACTTTTCAGAAAGTTCAGAAAGGTTAAGTGAGTGCCCCGCAGGCACTCAATGGTAGACTTGAACCCAGGTCCTGGGGAATCCATGCATCCTGGCCCTGCTCACCCTTAATGTCCCGGTGAACGATCATGTTGCTGTGCAGATAGGACATGCCCTCCAGGATCTGCCGCGTGTACTTTCGGGTCACGCTTTCTGTCAGAGCACCATAGGCCTTCAACTGGTCTTTCACGGAGCCCTAGCAGCCACAAGGAGTCAGAGAAGTCCCCTCAGGGGAGGGCTGGTGGTGGGACAAGCCCATTGCAGCCCCCAGCATGGCAGCAAAGGAAATGATTGGTTCAATTCCTATTTGGCTGTGCAGGGCACTCTGCCAGGAGCTGTCAGGCAATTTGGAGAAGAGAGTACCACATAGTCCTTCTCAAGCAGCACGCCACCCAAATCCAGGAGCAGGGAGGCCTGTCTGCTCCAGATGAAGGCTGCATTTACTGGACAGTAAGCCAGTCCTACATGCTTCAGAGGAGGGCTGGGCCTAGGGCAGTTGTCATCTCATACTCCCACTGCAGCCTGAGGCAGGGCCCTCCTGACTCCAAGACCCACCATAACATCGTTTTGCTGCTCTGGGCCTCTGGAGCCTCAGGTGATCAAACTCCTATCCAAGGTGACCCCTCTCCTGCAGGCTCCGCCCCCAAGGTCAGGCTCTCTTGTGTGTGGTCTCACATGCATTCAAGGGGCACGTACCCCTGGCATGTACTCCATGAAGATGGTCAGGGTCTTCTCAGCACGGTCCCGCAGACAGCCATAGTACTGCACAATGCGCTCATGCTGCAAGTTCTTTAGCAACTGGATCTCGCACTCCAGAGCACTCACCTCCTAGGGGAGGGGTTAGTGGTTGCCTCAGCTCTCAGGGCCCCAGTTCTCCCTGCCTGGGTTCAGCCCAACTTGCCCTAGTTAGTGGCCTCCCAAGAGTCTGCCTTGGGAACTGCAGCTGGAGAAAAGGAGGACTCTCTTAACTGTCTGGCCCTGGGCCACAATGCTAGGAAGGCCTTGGGATGGTGGCACTCCCATGCGTGGAAGGAGGCAGGGAGGTGGGAGAAGGGGCTGTGGGTGCTTAGCTAAGGTAACTGCTGTCTGTCCGCTCCAACTGAAGTGCAAGCCATGCTGAAAGCTGAACTGCAAAGTCAGGCCATGTGATTTTTCCTTTAGAGCTGGACCAAGTGAAGGAACACCACAGCTCCTTCCTGGGCTGAGGGCTAGGAAGAGAGATTTGTCTGGTGGAGAGCAGGGAGTGCCCTTTGTGGCACGAGTCATCACCTCTCAGTTTGGGGTACTTGGTACTTTGGCATCAGCTTAGTTCCTTATACATGACCCCTTCCCCAGGTGCTTCGTGTTCTTCAGACCACAGTCCTTTCACCCTGTGACTAGGGCCAGGATGGAGAGAAAGGGAGCTTGGGAAGAATGATGGAGGAAGCGACCCACAGCATCTCAAACAACTACTACTCTGTGTAAGAGAGGCATTTTTGCTGAAAGGAGAGAACTGAAGTCAGACCACGGGGAAAGTGTACCTTGCTTGTCTCAGGACTGTCTGGGTCAAACTGGACCTGCTTGGAAGCAAGTTCACGTCCTGTGTCCACATCATAGCACAAATAGACCCTGCCGAAGGCACCCTGGCCCAGGAGCTTTCCCCGGCGCCAGTTGATCGGGGCACTGGGAGCTACAGGAGAACAGATGGAAAGAGTGTTACTTTGTGTGCACTATTTATGGATATCCCATTCATTCTCCAGGCACTCTATAATAGGGCCTCTGGCTCAGGCTCCCCCTCACCCAGCACCATCACATCATCTCTTAGTAGAGCATCTCCACCGCAATTTGGAGCAAGCCCAGATTTAGTCACTTGGACCTAAAGCCAGAGTCCCAAGAAGCAAAGGATTGGCTACAGTCATGGTTAAATGCTCTTCTGCATTGATCAAATACATTTGCTTCCAAAGCCCCTAAATATCTTATTATGGCAGGGATGAAGGGTGTGCTCTTCCCTCATTTAAACATGAAAAAACTAAAGATCAGAGAGGAGAAGAGGCTTGTTACATAATAGTGGAGCCAGGCTTCAGGCACTTCAAGGCTTATCCCATGTGGTGCGTATGGGCCAAAGCCACCACCTGCTGGGCCTAAGGGTCCCAGGGGCCCAGCTGTTCTGCCCCTGTAGCTTGTCTGAGACAGCCTGGACAGTCTCCTCCTAGCCAGGGACAGCTCCTCACACTTGGTTGGCACATTCCTCTCCTGCACAGAGAGGGCATTCTCGCTGTCTGCACTCCGCAGGCGCCCACGGGGGTCCAGGTATTGCACAGCTAGACCCATGTTCTCGCCATTTGTGCTCAGGGAGCGGCTGGAGGGCACCAGGGTGAACAAGTTGCCTTGATGACGCCGTATTCGGGGAAATGTTCTTCTGCCTGAAAGGGTGCAAGGGCCAGAGTAGAGCAAGTCAGACTGGGGGCTATGAGGCTGAATGTACAAACCAGGTCCGAGCCAGAAGTGATAGATAATACCAGTTCCAGCCCACCCTCTCCGCCCTCCCACCTGACTCATTCCACACAGGCTGCTGTCCCAAGCACTCCAAGAATCAGGACAAAAGCAGAAATTAGGAAGTAGTCTGGTTCAGGGAGATCTGGCCAAAGGGAAGGCACATGGCTGGCCTGTGGGCTCACAATTGCTTACAAGGCCAAGCCACACCCAAAGGCACTGATTTCCTTGCATCCTACTCCTTACCCCTCTGCAGGCCCCAGGCCACCTGCTGCTGCGGGGCACAAGAGGGCATGGGATAGGTTTGTCTCCAACAAAGGTCAGAGTTCCCAGTGGCAGCATCTTGGTCTACAAATACTATCTTCCCTGTTTTTGTTTTTGTTTATTTCCTGTCTCCCATGGCTCAAGTCTGAGCCACAATTCCTCAGGAATGAAGGAAAATACAGACGCTGGATGGACAGGCCCACCCTCTTCATGGCAGCTGGTCCTTTCTTGAGGCAGTCAGCAGGGGGCAGGTGAAGGAGCACTCACCATCGCTGTAGTCCTTGTGGTGCACAGACACATGGTAGCGCCGGGGGTAGGTTCCACCTTTGACCCCTTTGTCATAGAGCTGAGTTTCCCGATCTGAGTAAGAAGGGGGAATCACTGGCTTCTGTGTAGGTCAATGTGAGTCACTTAAGCCCCCAAGTCACCTGAGATCTCAAAGTAGCAAGCCTAAGTAGAGCTATTGAGTCAGAACCACCTGGGGTCCCACCTAGACACCCTGCATTGCCTACTCAGGCTTTGTGGAACTCACCTGAATATTCCTGTCTGTTGTCAGGGAAGCTCTGGGCACGGGACATTCGTGATTTCCGGAAGGATGGGCTGGAGAAAGCAAGAAGAAATAAAAAACAGACTCCCTGCACACTTCCACAGCAACCCAGCAGGGCGTCCAGGTGGTCTCCCTTTCTAACCCCTGCCACAGTGTTAGGTGGGGGAAGCATATTTTGTGGGAAACAGCCCTTTTCTGAGTCCAGCTCCTGCATTCTCCACCCCTCCCTTCACTACTCTATAACCTAATCTGACAGCACCCTGAGTGGCACATCGCCCCCATCTGACCCAACCCCAGCCTGGCTGCACAGACCTCTCCCTCCTTGCCCTTTCTTCCCACGTCTGTAACAGACCCCCAAGAACTCCAAGAGAATCCTTTGCCCAGGGCAGTAATAAAAATAGCCACAACGTCATTGTTTATAGGTTGCTGCTTTCTTACCTATTTTATAAAGTGAGCTTTTTCTCACTTAATCCTCAGAACGCTGTGAGGTAGCAAATACAGTATAATAAAAATAAGTCTGTGTTCTTGCTGCTAAGCCAGGCATCTTTCAGCCTAGTCACCACCATTCCACTTTGGAGATGGGGAAACTCAAGAACAGGTTAAAAGACTTGTCTGAAGCCATTTAACTAATATTTAGTGGAGCTGGGACTGGATCTAGGTCTATCTGGTTCCTGATTTCATGTCCTTTCCCAGATCCCATGAAGGGAAGATGAGAGCCCTGAGCCCAAGTCAGGCTGGGCCTCAAGGAAGTAAGTCTAGATCATTCACAATGAAAATAAAAGAAAGTACTGTAGGGGCAGAGGAAAAAGAACAAGAATAAAGAGGTGGGTAAATTTAGCTATCTTTCCCAAGATCCACCTGAATGGCCCTTTTCCTTACACATGAGTGCTTATTGGCCTTTTGTGGTGGCTACAGGTTAGAAACTCTCAAGGCAGTAGCAGAGGGTGGCCGCCCCATTTCCCAACTACTAGACCTTATGTAGTCCTCTCCTCTCCCTTTTCCCTTCTAAAGCTCAGGAGATAGTCCAAAGTCAGAGTCAGTCCCTGTCTTGGCAGAGCCTTCAGTCTACAACAGCAGGCCCTAGGACTCTTGCCTGTGCCTTCTTACTTCCCTGGTTGGAAAGCAAGCCCCAGACAAGGCTACACATTAGAAACCAAGTAACCATAACTGTATTCTATAATGTCTAAAGGGAAGACAGTGCTCATCAGTGCTCAGGTCTATTAGGCAAGACAATGCATAGTTAGCCATAGTCACAAGATCACTACCCAAATGAACAATTAATCAGTTACACAAAGTAAAAAAAAAACCAACCTGCTCGATAGCTTCTGAGCACAGTCTGAAACCCAGACAGACTTGATCAAAACTGCTCTTGGGCATAATAAGGCAGAGTCCAGGGAGTGCCAAGATCAATGCCAAGGCCTTTCCAGATGTACCCCTGCTATCTGGTATGTAAAGAACACCACTTGTTTCCTCCCAAAGTGTAAGAAGAAGATATACACCAAGCAGGCAGCGTGGTATGATAGGCATTCTGGATATTCTGTTTTCAGGTTTCAGTTTCTTACTCCCTGCCAAAAACACTTGTAGTAAAAAATTAAGGTAAACCAATGGATGAGAATTCAGTTTTTCCCCTAAAACAATGACAGTCCGCTGCTTCTCAGTTCAGATCACAGCAGTGAAGCCAAAAGTACAAGAGCGGCATATATTATGTCGAAAGTCAAAACATGCAAAGCACTTAAAACAACAAAGCAAGTACTTAATAAATGAGCTGCTATCTTATAAGCTATTATTACATTCATTTAATTACACAATCATAACATTCTCATGGTGTCTGGGAAATTAAGGAGAAGGCTTTCCTAGAAGCATTATGTTTTAACCCTGGGCCTGCAGAGCTAACTCCTCTTCTTCAACCCATCAGTTCCAAAAATGACTATGCATTACCCTCCAAACCACCCACAGTCCCATACCTGTCTGCTGACCTGTCCAAGGATTGGCAGCTTCCAGACAAGGAATTTTCTGCACTGCTCAGGGGATCCAGCATCTGTAAGACAAGTCATACAATAAAGCCACATCCCCAGCCCCAATTCCCCCGTGATCCAAGCTTTATGGCAAAGCCCAGCAAACGGGCCTTCTTGTAGAAATATGAAAGTGTCCTTTCTCTCCCCATGCAGTGGGAAGAATGAATAGGAAGGTACCGTCCTCCCCCTTAGTTTAAAAGGCAAGTTTCCAGGAGGGAGAAAAATACTTGGCTGGCATCCCAAGAAGCTCTGGCAGGAGAGCAAAGCCGAGGCTCTGCTTTTCTGGTTGGCATGTTCTTGGCTCATTAACACTAGAGCCTGGCTCTGGAGATGGTACTACCCTGCTGAGCCTTCCAGTGAGTTTGGGTGGGACCTTAATGCTTCTGTTTACACTCCGTAATTTATAATTTACAAAGACAAGTATTGCCTCATTTCACAGACGAGCACTATAGGCCTAGAAAGGTTAGGAGACTTGTCTAAAGTCATAAAACTAAGTTAGTACACAGCTGATACCAGAATGAAAACATCCCAGTTCCTGGTCCAATGCAGAGGTAATAGATAACTAAATATATTAAAATATTTCTCTGGCCCATGGTCAAATGCAGCAACAAAATCAATTTTTCTTCAATCAATGTCCTGAAGATCTTCCCCTTCATTTTCTCTGCACAAAGGTGGGACTGGGGTCTTCAATTTCAGAATATTCATTATCTGAGCTCCAACATTAAACATTACATAGGGGCTGGGCTTGGTGACTCATGCCTGTAATCATAGTACTTTGGGAGGCCAAGGCAGGAGGATCACTTGAGCTTAGGGGTTTAAGGCCAGCCTGGGCAACATAGTGAGACCTTCTCTCTGTTTAAATTTTTTTTAATTAATTAAAAAAAATTTACATAGGGAAACAAAGTATCAGAATTATGAAAATTCACTAACAACCTCCATAAAATTAGTTTCCAACTCAAATGTTTTTTCCCATTTAATACTAGCATCTGTCCCCATCCATAATTTCAAATGCTTTAGGTCATATTGTCACACATGATTTTTTAAAATCTGCCAATCAAGGCAAATTGCAAAGTAAAACTGCAAATATTGTTAAGGATACAGACTATCCAAAGTGGATGAAACCAACATTGGAGAGAATTGCTTTCAATCTATCAGGTGCATATTTGGCAAATTTACACCAGTTAACAGAAAAAAAAGAAAATGGACAAATAAGGCTGGTGTGGTGGACTCATGAGAGGCCTTGGGGAAACTGCTAAGTCCTGTGAATGCTCTTGTGAAAAATGAGCGTCTTTATGGTCAGAAGTCAAGCAGGGAGTGAAGGACATTACATTGTGCTAGCATTTTGTTGTTGCTGTTGTTCAAGACAGGGTCTCATTCTGCCACCTAAGCTGGAGTGCAGTTCACTGCAGGCTAGGCTCAAGTGATCCTCCCACCTCAGCCTCCTGAGTAACTGGGACTACAGGCATGTGTGCCACTATGCCCGGCTAATTCAAAAAGATTTTTTTTTGTAGAGACAGGGTGTTGCTATGTTGCCCAGGCTGGTCTTGAACTCCTGACCTCAAGCAATCCTCCTGCCTTGGCCTCGCAAAGGACTAGGATTACAGGCATGAACCACTGCATCCGGACTGGCATAAATTTTGTTAGAAAACTTGGGCCAAAAAATTAACATGAATCATACTTTATTCATTCAAAAATGAGTAAATAGATGCAATTATCACCTAAACCCAATTAAAGAAAAAACAAAAACTTATCATACTTTCACTTTTCAATAAAGTCACATTGGAATATTCTTTCATTACGTACTATGCAACGTTTGTTCCTGTTCAGTGGATTGATCTCAAATGACCTGTTACCAGAAGCAATTTTCTTCAGCTAAAGAGGCAGGCACTGGAAGAGGATCTTAGCAATCCCTAGCCACTGCCTTCCTTGGCCTCTTTCTAAAAGTCTGTTCTCCCTAGGAGTCAAACCCTCCCATGCCTTCCGGGGCCATGCAGATAAAGTAAAAAAAGTGAAGAGGACAGAGTATAGGACCATGGTGAGGGACACAGACTAAGGGCAATCAAGCTCATCTGCAATCTCTGGAATTTTACACCCAAGTCACCCCTAGAACAGCTGATGTCCAGAAGTGCCCTGGTTAGAGAAACCAGGAAGGATGGTCAGTAAAATGCCCAAGAAGGAATTCTGCAGCTAAAGACACTCCAGGTCACTATTCCAAACATGAATTTATCTGGAAGGCAGGAGGATAGAAGGAAGAAGAGTACAAAGTGCTTCTCATAGCCTATATAGTTTGAATAATGAAAGAAAAGTTACAAGAATCAGTTTTTTGTAAAATCTCCCATGTGACAGCCCGGGCCCATCTGTTGGACATTTTCTCCTTAAGAAATTTCCCCTTCTCAGGCCAAATTCCAGAAAGTATAAGAACAGCCTTTTTTTTTTTTTTTTTAAAAAAAAAAAAACAATCAAAGCAAGCACATTGAAAAGACCAGAATGAAACTACAGATCTCACCCTTTCTGAGTTCACTAAGCCAAAGCCATTTGCATCAAGTAAGCCACGAGTTTAAAAGCTAGCCATTAAAATGGCTGAGCCACTGTGGTGGGCACACTCTAAGGTGATTACTTTCTCTACCAATTAGTCCCAATGAGCCAGCTGCCTTTCCCTTTAGTGCAACTAGAACCTGTGACTTGCTTCTAGCCAATAGACTATGGCAAAGAGGATGGAATACTCATTCCCATAATTATGTGATGTTTTATGACTCCATCTTTGCAGACTGGAGCAAGAGATTCTCCTGCTGGCCTTGAAGAAGCTGCCATGTTGTGAGAAGGCCCCATGGCAAGTAACAGCAGGTGGCCTCTAGGAAAGAAACTCAGAAGCCCCTCAGTGACATCCAGAAGAAAAGAGGAACCACAGTCCTACAGCCACAAGAAACTAAATTCTGTCAACAACGATATGAGCTTGGAAGAGAACCCCAAACTCAAGAAAGGCAGGCAGCCTGGCTGACACCCTGATTGCAGTCTTGTGTGACCCTCAGCAGAGGACCCACCTGAATCATGCCTAGACTCCTGACTCAGGGAAACTGGAAAATGATAAATGTATGTTGTTTTAAGCCTCTAGGTTTGTGGTAATTTGTAATGGAGCAATAGGTAACTAATACAACTGTCTACCATCATAAATGGTCAACCTAACCAATCCTACAGTGTAATTTTGATATGGTTTACTCCCTACCTTTCATCAAGAAACGGCAAAACTAAAATATATCCAATGAAAAACATAACCTGTCAGTTTAAAACCAGGCATATGTTAGAACACTACTGAAATGAGCTGGGTGTGGTGGTGCCTGCCTATAGTCCCAGCTACCTGGGGGAACAATGAGAGGACTACAATAAAGGAAAATCTGTTAAGTGTTCACCCAACAGCAGCGAGACTACGTAGTTTAGATCCCATCTTTGGCAGAAATCGTTATTTGACTGTTAAAAAGGGGTAATCCATATTTGGGCAGGCCTGGTTTATAAAAGAGCTTTCAAAATGGGGTACATGTTCTTCACTGTGACTACTGGGAGCCCCTTGTTATGACCTTGGTCTGCTGATACAGGACATGGGCATATCCCAACCCCCCTATACTCACGCACTGCTCGCTGGTCTCTGGGATGAACTCCCCCTCACTGTTGATGCTGGTGTAGGACCCCTGCCGGGCAATGTGCTGCTGCCGCTCAGGAACATAGCCAGGGGGAGGTGAGCTTCGGCCAAGGTTCTGGGAGCCTAGAGCACATAAAGGAGGCTTTTTTTCAACAACAGAGCCCAGGATGTGTGGCCCAAGAGGAGCCGGTATGGGGCCAGCTCACAGACACCAGGCCCCAGAGGTCAGGAATGTGACTCAGATGGGTCATGGCACTAACATCCAGCATGTACCAGCTCCCTCAGGCAAACAAAGTCTTTTCCTAACAGGAAACAAACTCCAGAGACAGAGCAGGCACTACAGCATATGTGACCAAAAACCTTGGCACAAAACAAAAATCAGAATAACCCCTATGAGACCAATGTTAGCTGGCAATCAGACTAGCTTTAAAAAANAAAAAAAAAAATATATATATATATATATATATATAAATATAATTATTCCTTCATAATGTCACTTTCTCTCTTCCTCTAGAGCACTAATGCCATTTCCTCCCATCAGCTCAATGCATCAGTTTAGTTCTCTTGAGTTTTGGGTCCCAGCAGTATTTTGAGGGTGGGGACCAGGAAAAGGTAACTGAATATACCTGGGCATCTCCCTCTGCTCTCCTGTTCCCTCAGCCAGGGTCTCCCCTTTTTTGTTCTCTACCTGTATCAGGTAAAAAGGCCCTCCTGATGGTCTGACCAGGATCAAGAGGCAGGCTTCTCCATTCCTACCCACTCCCATGCTTCCTGGCATATGAGTAATGATATTATCTTTTTTTTTTTTAATTGAGACAGGGTCTCACTATGTTGCTCAGGCTGGTCTGAGTAACGATTATCTCGCATTTACGTAGTACTTTACTTTTTGTTACACATTCACAGTAATTAATCTCATTTGATTTTCAGCATCCCTACAACAGAGGTTTGGCAAATATTTTTTGGGTGCCTGCTAAGTGGCAAGTATTCCACAAGGTATTTTTACATTTGTTACTTCACTTAATCCTTTCAACAATCCTGAAAGGTAAGCATTTGCTTTACTTAACAGAGGAAGAAACGAAGACTCAATGAACTTAAATCTTAAAAAAAAAAAAAAAAAAAAAAAAAAAAAAAAAAAAAAAAAAAAAAAAAAAAAAAAAAAAAAAAAAAAAAAAAAAAAAACCCGAAACACCCAAAAACAATTATTTATGTTTTACAGGTAAAAGAACATAAAACCACTGGATGCGGCGGCTCAGGCCTGTAATCCCAGCACTTTGGGAGGCCGAGCAACCAGCGTGACCAACATGGAGAAACCAGTCTCCACTACAAATACAAAATTAGCCGGGCGTGGTGGCGCCTGTAATCCCAGCTACTCGGGAGGCTGAGGCAGAAGAATCACTTGAACCCAGGAGGCAGAGATTGCAGTGAACCCAGATTGCGCCATTGCACTCCAGCCTGGACAATAAGAACAAAACTCTGTCTTTAAAAAAAAAAAGAATATAAAACCAATTTACAGGTACTTTCACCACATCAGCTTGTAAGATTAAACGGTTTATCATCCTAACGTCAGTGAATGACAGAAGTGTGCAGAGACACACATTGTAAGTCATTGAGCAATACTTTTCTGTCATAACGGATTTTGAGTCTGAGAAATCAGGTCCTTCTTTCTCCTAGTCCAAGAGCTTTTCCTGACTGATTCTATTGCTTTCCATGATCAGAGGGGACAAAAATGAGGCCAAAAGTTTGCATCTTTTTGCCTTCCTAAGCTCACCAGACAAACCAGAAGAGCCAACTTTCGGAAGGTTTAAAAAAAAAGCTTTAACAAACAAACAAAAAAAAAAAACACAAACAACCAAATAAAAAAAGCTTTAACAATAGCCACACAAATATTTTTCATAGCTTCAAAACTTAAATATAGGATTCTTATCCTGAACGCTTTTCCTGTTCTGGAGGGAACAAATTTATCCTGTTGTGTAGAAAACCAGAGACACAAGAGCCCTCCACTCCCTTATCTACCAGCCCTTACCTCTCTCCCACAACCCAGCAATTCCTAGACACCAGGAATAGCAGAAGTACCATCCCTCAACAATGCAGGCTACTTTCCTTGCTGGCTGGTTTCTCCAGTCTAGTTCAGGGGCTGTAGTACTACGTTTTCTGAAATGGAACTGCAAGCAAGATGCTCTGTGGAAATGGATAAGGAAGCAAGAGAGATCAAGTTTGGCAGTTGGAGACCTAGAAGTACCTGACTCATTCTATTGTTGTTTTTTTTGTTGTTTTTTTTTTTTTTTTTTCAAAGACAGATCTCACTATGTCACTATGTCAGGCGAGTCTTGAGCTCCTGGGCTCAGGAAATCCTCCCTCTTCAGTTACAGGCAGGTGCCACCATGCCTGGCTTCCCTCCTTTCTTGATGCTAGAGCCTCAGTCCAGACCAGTTTTAGATGGAAAACTTGAGACACTGAGTTTTAGTTTTATATGTGTGTGTGTGTACGTTTATACACATATATATTTCTTGTCATTTAAAAGCTCATGTGTGGCCAGGTGCAGTGATTCACACTTATAATCCTGACACTTTGAGAGCCAGGAGAAATGCTTGAGGTGAGGAGTTTGAGACCAGACTGGGCAAAATGGTGAGACCCCATCTCTACAAAAAAAATCTTTTTAATTAGCCAGGCATAGTGGCACACACTTGTAGACCCAGCTACTTGGGAGACTGAGGCAGGAGGATTGCTTGAGCTTAGGAGCTTGAGCTGCAGTGAGCCATGTTTGCACCAATGCACTCCAGCATGGGTGATGGAGTGAGACCCTGTCTCAAAGACAAAACAAAATGAAAGCTCATGTGGAGCCAGGAGCACTGAGCCTGTGCCTGGAAGTAGAGGTAGCACACCAGGATCATGATGTTCAGCAGAGGGTGCTCAAAAGCCCAGTCCAGGCTCTTCGAACATCCTGGAAAAGAGGGTGGGCCTGACAGACTGATGGGGCTCAACAAACTTCCTGAGCCAGAGAGATTCCCAATATTTCAAAAACCCTCAGAAGGAAGAAAAATATTTAAAGGAAAAAAAGAATCGAGGGAAGGCTTGCTCTATGTGTGTGTGTGCACTTTTAGAGATGGGGTCTTGCTATGTTGCCTAGGTTGGGCTCAAGCCTTGGCTTCCCCAGGTGTTGGGATTAAAGGCATGATGAGTGCCCATACCTGGCCAGAGGGTTGCTCTTTGAAAAACATTTTCTCAGAAGCTTAAACTATTGTTTTTCAATGACCTTCAAGAAACTGACTTTTTTTTTTCTTTTTGAGATGGAGTCTTGCTCTGTTGCCCAGGCTGGAGTGCAGTGGTGCAATCTTGGCTCAAGGCAACCTCCGCCTCCTGGGCTCAAGCAATTCTCCTGCCTCAGCCTTCCTAGTAGCTGGGATTACAGGCAGCCATCACTATACCCAGCTAATTTGTGTATTTTTAGTAGAGACAGGGTTTCACCATCTTGACCAGGCTGGTCTCAAACTGCTGTCCTCAGGTGATCCACCTGCCTTGGCCTCCCAAAGGGCTGGGATTACAGGTGTGAGCCACTGCACTCAGCTGAAACTCACTCTTTGATTCTTCTACATTAAGTCAGTTGTTCAGAACATATGGTTCATTTGGTTGTGCTGAACATGTTTTTATGAATTCACCATGGAGAATACTTCCAATCTCTGCTTGGACACATCACCCCAGTCTGCTTCCAAGGATGTCTCTCTGGCAGGAAACCTAACATGGGGTCCTCAGTTATCTGGCTTCCCCACGTGACTCCAGAGCGGAGGCCAGAAACAAAATTGCTCTGAAAGGCATAGAATTTTGCTGGATTTCCTGTCTCAACATCTCACTCACAGGGTAGAGGCCATCAATTCTGAGATAAAGTGGTATCTGAGACATGCCTTTGAAATGGTCTCAAATAGCCCATGAAAGAGAATTTATCCATATTTTCTAAGCCCTAGCAGAAACTAAACTTACTCTCAGTGTAAATTTAGGGATATTGTACTGTGAACTAACAGAGCAATAAAATCAACCAAGGCAATTTTTTTTCTTAAAAAACATTGTCACTTCTCATTTGACCCTTATTATACCCTGGCAGTGGTGGTGCATTATTATCATTCACATTGTGCAGATGGAAACCTGAGGCCCAAAGCCATAAAGTGACTTCATGGTGGGGCTGAAGGTATAAAACAGGCTTTGTGACTCTCAGTACAGTTCAGCCAAGGCAATTTGGGGACTATAATTTATTTCCACAACAGGTAGGCATGCTAATCAACACAATGGCACAAGGCAAAACCTCTCCCTGAACTGGCCAGGCCATCTGTTCCCCATGAGTAATCCCTATGGAGGATGGAGATCCCATCCACAAGGAAATATGACAGCCTGCCAGGTGTGGGAGAGAGGCTAACGTGGGGACTTCCTGGCAGCACAGGGGAAACACAGTGCCATGTTTCTTTCTTTGGAGTGCAGTGGTGTGATCACAGCTCACTATAGTCCCGAACTCCTGGGCTCAAGGGATCCTCCTGCTTTAGCCTCCCAAAGTGCTGGAATTACAGGTGTCAGCCATCTCCACAGTGCCATGTTTCATGCAGATCAAATTCAGGGTTGTTTTGTCCATGGTCATTTGGGAGTCAGAGATGAGGAATACAAAACGCCATTTGATCAATGGAGGGCTTGGAGGCAAAGACAAAATGGAGGTTAGGGGAAATCTGGACCAAGGAAACTACTTTACTTTCCATTGATCCAGACCTCATAGACCCATGTACCTGGCTGCTTCCCTTGCTACTGTAACACAAAATTCTAGTGCAACTGTGAAAAAAGGATGGTTTTCCTAAGTCCTATCATGCCTCAAAACACCGAGAGAACACTATTTAACCCTTTGCTTATAAAAATTAGCCTACTGCCTGCTTCCTACTTTCAGCTTTGGATGACATCTTGGTAGTCCACAGGTTCTGTGGCAATTTAGTCTACATGTCAGCAACATTTGTCAGCAGCGGAAGCAACTCTAAGGAGGTAAGCAAGGTGCAGAGAGAAAAGACTAAACTTTGAAATTAGATACACATGGGCTCAGATCAGGCTTTGCCACTCATTAGCTAAATGATCTAAGCTCTCACCTCAATTTCCTC